ATAACTTATGTTAGGGTTATGTTAGCTTCACTCAGATGATGTGATTTGCATTTTAATTCTAAGATGTTTTTACTCTTGAACACATTTCCCCCCAAGTCCGTGACAGTTAATTATCCGTGTGTGTGTGTGTGTGTGTGTGTGTGTGTGTGTGTGTGTGTGTGTGTGTGTGTGTGTGTGTGTGAGAGAGAGAGAACAAGCATGCAAATGTCAGTGTGAGTGCGTGGCACATGTGTGTGTTTCCTGCCAGTGCAGCAGGCTGATAAAAACAAAGAACCACAAACCTTGTCCCCGCTCCCACTTTGTCTTTCCCTGCTTCCATTCAGGGTGAAACTCCATAAATTAAAGACCACAACCTGTCGGGGTGCAGCCAAGGCCTGACAGCTGTGTGCTGGTTGTGGCACTGTGTGGGACTGTGTGGGATGAGGAGCTTGCCCCATTAAGTTGCTCGTCTGGCTTTTTCATTCGTGGTATAGCCTGTATTATTATATCAACACTGGTATTTGGTCTTTCTTTATCACTAAAGAGGTCAGTTACTGCACTCACTAACAACAGGGAAGTAGCACGGGCTGCTTTTTGAAACCATGGAGGCTATTGTGTTACTCTCATTTTACCCTAGTCTGATTCTTCCACTATATCCGTGATTGCCCTCTCCAGGGTTGCTAATAACTGCAGTAGTAGATGGTCTGGACTAAAATTGCTCAACACATCCCCCAGAGAACAATGTGGAACACTTTTGTTGGTCCCTTGATGTGTTTTTAATCGTCTGATCATAAGATCAAAACTGTCCAGTCTATTGCTATGCTTAAATACATGCAAATAATGCTGGCATGTTATCAGGTGTTTAAACAATAGATGTACCTACAGCACTGTGCAAATCTCTTCAGCTAACTCTCATTTCTCTGTATATTTTTTCCAAGGAGTCAGACTTTCTTTTAAGGGTTTTACACCTAACTGAAAAAACCTTAGCAAAGAAGCAATTTTAAAATGTATCTTTAGGCACTTTGTTACCAGCAGTTCGCTGTGAATCTGCAAGTAATTCTAGATGCAACACAGTTTGACAGGCTTAAAATATTATCTTTGTGTCAATAAGGTGATTCTCAAAGAGCCATTAGCTAAACACTTGCCACATCTCATCATCATGTATCCTTAAAAAATGGGAAAAAACAAAACTTGTATCCGCACTGTAACATTTGTTTTTGTATTTGAAGAAAAATGCTGACACAGGGCCTGAGAGATGGATCTGACCTTTCAGCTGATCCATCTACAAAATAAGGTCTGTAAAACAAGGTGGAAGCTCTGTCATGGTTTGGGAATGCAACATAATCTGGAAAGCCTCTGTTTAGCAACAGCTTCATATCTCAAAATGACAATGATCCCAAATACACTGCCATTGCAGTAAAGTCTCATTCATGGATTGGCCTCCTCAGAGTCCAGATCTCAATATTATTAATGCAGTGTGGGATCATCTTGACAGAGAATAGAACAAAAAGCAGCCAACATCCAAAGAAGAGCTTTGAATATCCTTCAAGAAGCCTGGAGAACAGTTCCTGAAGGCTACTTAAAGAAATCAGAAGAAAGCTGACTAACAGAGTTCAAGCTGTGTTAGGCAAAGACGGTCACACCTTCTGATTTTCCAGCTGGTTAGAATTGTAAAAATTCTGTTATTCCACATATGACTGCACGCTTCATTAACTTCCTAAAACCCAAACTCTCCCATGGCATGCATTTTTAATTTCTCTTTAATATTTGGGCTGATTGGGACCTAAAAACAAAGAATTACCTGATTTTTTTGTTTTTAAGAAAAATGAGAGCCACATATGAGGATATTCGTTTAAAATTTCGATAGACCAGTAGCAGTATAATGTCCTCGTAAGTGGATATCAGACCCTTGTAGAGCAAAATGGAGTATTTTGGTCTAAATAACCCAAAATGTGATGTCCACAAATGTGGATGCCAGGTCCTAAGAGGTTAAATCACTGCAGAGTACTGCAAACGCCAGTGTTAGAAGTAAGTTCTCCAGACTGTCCATTAAGCCAAAACACAGCACCTTCTCTATATAGTCATCTGCCAGGTATCATCATTATCATCATTATCATTATCAATATTTCTTAGTCTATATTCTGCCTGTAGTCTTTTACATTGTTTTCTTGTGTTCCTTATCAACTAGTCAGTTATATCCATATATAGCATTTTTTCTTGTTTTATACTTGTGCATGTATGCCGTTATGCTTTGTTCCATACATTTGTATATTTAGATTGTTATTCATGAGAATTGTGAGATATTAATACGGTGCTAACGACACAATAATACTTCTTCTTTTACTTGTTACAGATTAATCTGTGTGCATTTTTTAATGTTCGCTTTATATTGTGAATTCTTCTAGCTTCAGTAATCCTGAAAATTTGCAACAATTTAAATATTTATTGCACTACTCACTGTTCTTTCTCAAATAGCTAAAAGCACTCCACCACAATCTTTTCTGTTCTGTTCTACAGAACAAAATCACTCCACAGTGACAGTGTAAGCAACAGCTTACCTGTGTAAATGAAAGAAAGGAAAAAAATATTTATTTTATACTAAACTGAACAAAATGTTTCAGTTTTATGATGCAAACCTTTTTCCTAATGTGATACCGGTTTTATAGATATTTTGCTCCCATTTTAGGATATTCAGAAATCTTCTATCTGATCAAAATGTTTTACCATGTATTTATCGTTGTGCAATTGCAGTTAACGGTGGATGTTATTGTTGTGTTGCCTGTGTTTTTGGATGGAAGAGTGTGAAAGACATACAAAGGCAGGGAGAGGGAGATGGAGGTTCGATTGTGAAGGTGTTGCAGTATGTTTTTAGGCAGAGCAGAGCTAGGCTGCAGCTGTATCTCTCCAAACAAAGAAGCACTTTCCTTCCCCTTCTCAATTCAATAGCTGCGTGCATGTCTGCACCAGTGTGGGAACGGCAGGTTAACCACAACACAGTCAGTACCATTGTTCTTCTTTATTTACTGGCACTCGATGAAAATCAAGAAGTGGTAAAGCCAGGCATGCATAATTATACTATTAGACTGAAAGCTGCTGTGACCGCAGAGTTGTAATTATTATCTATGCACTGCGATCATGTTTGTATAATGGGTGACACATTAGCAGACAGACAAAGCTCGTTCTGAGACTTTTCGTTTTTTAGTGTTAAAGTTTAAACAGGGTTCATGTTTTTTTCTTTTTGTTTGTTTTTTGACAGGCACCTTTACCTTTTCGCTCATTATGGTTTAGATAAAACTCTTTAAGACTTAAAGAGATATGGATTCTACATGGCTAAGCACAAAACATCACACTTCTATGGTACTGACAGTTTGTTCTTTGAATTAATGTGGAATAAAATGTCATAAATAAACGTAAATATCTTCTCTTCAAATGAGGCTAGTATTTGTGTCGTGGCTTATTTTCTAAAGGTCTGCAACGGTGTGAACAGGCCAGCAGACGGCAGAATAGAGCAGTAAATTAAATACATAAGGAGAACTGGAAAACTTCTCTCTTTTTGTTTGTTGATCCAGCATTCAAGAGATTTAATGTTTTAAACGTCATAGACAATATGTTCTTTGAGGGTCAAAAGATCAAAACTGGGATAAGTTTATAAATATTATATTATATTTTTATTGCTGTACATACATACATACATACATACGCTCTTTTCTGAGGTTTCTGGTATTTCTCAACCTTCTCGTGTTCCTCCTTCCTGTCATTCAGAACCGCTACATCTATCACTATCACAGCCTGCAAAAGTCTTGAGGAGCCCCGCTTTTCTTTATAGTTCATTTCCATCTAACCTATATTTTTTAAGTGGCCTTGAGTACTTCAGGTTTTCTGAAAATATTTGGACACTGGTTGTTTTCTCATTCATTCATTTTCCATCCAGTCCTTGTACGTGACTATTTTCAGACATTGTTTTTTGTTTGTTAAGCGACTTAACACTAACATATAAATCTAATTAAAGGGATGAACCAGTGGCATTTCTACACATAACAGACAACTTTGCAAAGAACTAACTCTAAATCTACAGTAAATTAACTTTATGACTAAATTGTCACAATTCAAGAAGCCTGGGGAACTATTCCCAAGGACAACTTAAAGAAATTACAAAAAAATAGCATTCAAAATATACTGAAGAATAAAGGTGGTCATGCCAAATATAGACTTTGAAGCTGGTTACCATTGTGCAAACTGTTAGAACTGCTGTATATCCTGTATTTCTATGTGTGCCTGCACATGTTTCAGTTATTTGTAAGCATCATATAACGTAAATACGGAGTACAAAATCCAATATTTTCACACAAAATTATCAGAGTAACAGCTGGAAATAGTGATATTTAGATACAACGAATCTCTTCTTCTAATGGTTGTATCCATGCTCTCATTCAGTGGTGTTGGGGATTGAAATATTAACAGTACTCTACATGGACTGTTCTGGTGGGGAGTACTGGTGGTGTGGGTGTGATCATAACCTGCCTTCAATATAGACATATGCCTGGACGGAGCGATACATGGCGTGCAGGCACATGCAGAAACATAAGTAAGAGGGCTTTGACTGCAGGTTTTATAGATGTTGTGCAGAAAAACTTTTATGGCAAAAAAGTTTGTGAGATGCTGATGCAGTTTTTGGGCTTTTAGTCCAATCGCTGCTGCCCCTGTACTCTGAAACTTTCCATTTAGTGTGTAATGTTTATGATAATGTGCTTTTCAGTGTTGCTAAAACACTGACAGTACTATTTACAGAGGAAGTGGCATTTTGTCTAATATGGTGAAGTAATGACACACACGCACAAAGAAACCCTTCAAGTATGGGGAAGTTTAAAATTGCACTTAAAGTGATTTGTGTATTTCAGGTTACATTTTATTGGATACATTTCCTCAGAGATCAAACAGAAAAACAAAGGCCATAAGCTCTGCTGTGAGCTGAGGTAGCACAAAACGAATTAAAAAACATCAGATCAGTGTGTCTAATTAGCAAACAGCGTTAGAGAGTAAAATCCATTATTTGGATAGTGATGTGGTGGAATATTTAGTTTGGAATAGATTTAAAAACAAGAGAAAAAATGTGGTGAAAGGTGGTTTGGGGGATTCAGAGAGAGGTTTTCTACTTTCTGCAGTACACCACTGCACTATATGCCACCACTCCCACAACTGCTACTAATGCAGCGCCTCCATAAAGCAGCTCGGTGGAGCTCAGAGGTTTGGTCTTGGGAGCAGTTGGCCGTGGCTGCAGCTTCTCTGCAGGCTCCTTAACTGAATGTTTATCCACGTCTGTGAGGGGGATCTGTGAAAACTGTTGTTGCTTGACACTTGCTGCTGGAGGCTCCGGTGCAATTGGTGCTAGAATAGAAGGAGGGTGGAGGCCCTGAATGGAATACAGCTCCTCTACTTCAGATGTTGTGGTTGAAGGGACTGGGGTGGATGTTGTGGAGGGGGGGTCGAGCTTAACAATAGGCAGAGGAGGCAGGGCCATCGGGGGAACCACATGCCTGAACTCTCCTGGCTCACACTCCATATAAGGCTCCTCTGCTGACACCAGGAGCTCCTGAGTTTCTGGGGCCTGGAGGTCCTGCTCCTCTTCCCTGAGTGCCACCAGCTCCCTCTCTCCACCCAACACACTTAACATACTTGTTTGCATCTCCTCATCTTCTTCCTCCTCTTCCTCTGCTCGCTTCCCTTTCTTCTCTGCCTCCTCAAGCATCTCAGCCTCGTCCCGCTCCAGATGGACCATGTCAGAGTTGGAGGAGTGGTTCTCCTCCCCTGTCAGAAGTGCCCCGTCACTGCTGTCGAGGCTCTTGGTGTCCTCGGGGTCTACATCGCCCATTGTGGACCAGGACTCTGCCAGCAGGCTCTCACTCTGCCAGCGTGCAGGAGTTTCTGCCTGAGTCAGCAGTGCAGCAGAAGCAGGGCTGAGGGTCTCTCTGCCTCCTCCATCCCCCCTGGTGGGCTCGAGTGGGGCCTGTCCCTCCAGAATGAAGGCTGGCTGCAGAAGGGACAGAGAAGATCACAGGTGGGACAAAATTTCAGGTAGACTCACCAAAATATCACACCAGGGTCAAAATTTTATATAAACATGGAAAGAGGGATATTTTATATTTTTTATATTATTTATGGTATAACTTTGGGCCCCAAAGTACCAACTGAGAATCATTTAAACATAACAGCCTGAGTATTGATGGTGACCATGTTCAACCCATTACACCCGCAGCATACCCATCTTCTGATGGGTGCTTCCAGCAGGCTTAGATACCATGTTACAAGGTTCAAATGATCTCAAGCAGGTTTCTTGATGATTCAATCATAAGATCTCAATCCAATCGAGCACTGTTGGGAATGTGGTGGAACAGGAGATCCACGTCATGGAGGTGTAGCCAACAAATCTGCAGCAACTGTGTGATGCTATCATGTTAATATGGAGCAGAATTGGTGAGAAGTGTTTACAGCACTTAGCTTGATCCGTACCACAAAGAATTAAGTTAGCTCTGAAAACAGGCTGCCACAAGGTGTACCTGATAAAGTGGATGGTGAGTATATGACGCATTGAAAATAAAACAGGACTTAAAATAAGTGCATTGAAATCACATGTTAATCACTGATAGGGTCTCTTCTTCAGAAGTGTATTTACCTCCAAGTACATTTTTCTTAGGAAACCTTTGTGTTTTAATAAAACCGTAAATCCAGCACAACCTCTGTGTCTACACTATTTGTCTTAAGTGGTAATTCCTACGTTTATTCAGCTTTACTTGTAATGAATATGCCAAAAGTCATACTCGAGATCAAGACAGTAGTTTTTTTCTTTTAGAGTTGTAAACAAGTCATGAAGGTGCTAATGTTAGACATAACTTTATTTTCTTTACTTCAAAGGACAAAAATACCTCCACTTCCAGGCCAGTCTGTGTGGTGGTGGTGGTAGTACGATAAAGGACACCTACAGAGACTACAGTGCATGCTGCTACAGGCCAGAAAAGCACAGACTGCTCCAAGTGGGTCCCACTTTTTGGAAAACACAGCCTCATGCCTTCACAAAGACATGTAGTTACTGATACTCTGCAGCACAGCCACAGAATCCTCTCATGGCTGCTACTGTTACAAATTTTACATGTCTGTGCTCTCATTGACATGAGTGAGGGTTGTGATTGGAAAAAGTTGCTCACTAGCTTGTCGTTATTGCAGCAGTCTGTGGCTATCTATAGCCTCGACCTGCATATCTTACTATGTTTAGACACTGTATACATCTCCATCTGTCACCCGAGAGTGGCAGCTCTTTTAGTGATTTCACATGGCATGAGAATAGGGCGAGAGTAGTGACACAAAATGGAAATGATTATGTCGCAGTCTACCTCTAAATTTAAAGGAAATGTTCATATATAATCATATGAAATCAGAATTTTGGAGAAAATAGTCATTTTTGATAATGGTTAGCACTGTTGTGTACGCATGCATTCAGCCCAAATGTGCCACATAGACTGAAGGTGACCCCCCTGTTCCCAGCTCAGCTTCGCCTGCACAGATTTGTCACCCTCATGCCAGTCCCAGAATAGATATTTTCAGCACTTCTGTCTGATGTTGTATCACATTTACAACATGTGGCCTGTCTGCGTGTCTCGCTGATTTCGGAACATACCTCTTAATGAGCCTCTAACAGTCTCTCTACACCTTGAATTTGTTACATTAGTACTTAACACAATATTACATGTTGCGGATCGCTGTAGAGAAAAACAAATAGAGGTATTTAGCAATGCAGAAGTTAAAATTTGATTCAGTTTTAGTAGAAAAGCTGAGGAATTTCCTTCAGTTGATATCTTTACAAAGGAGGCCTATCAAATGTCATGTTTATTATACCGTAATATGACTTCAATAAGGAAATTGTCTAGTGGTTCAGCTGAGTGTTGTTGTCTCATTGTGTTTCTCAGCCATTAGCTGGTAAAACGTATCTCCCACAGTACAAGAAATAAAATTATAAGATAAGATAAGATAAGTATCAATCCTGAGGGAAATTCTTACAGTCAATAACAATAGAACCAAGAGCAGAAACACAAACAGTGTGGAGTCACAGAGAGTAAAAACAAAACAAAAAAAAACCCTCAACTGCTAAAAAACAAGGTGCTGAAAAGAACAACATTATGAAAAATAAACATAAATACAAATATGATCATTATTAATAAGGTTAACACTACTTGCAAATGCAAATAGTATTATTGTAGTAATAATCCTCCTATCTGGTAAAGAACATGTGTTTTATTTAAAGATTGCTTCACTGTTGCTGCTTTAAACGCACATACCTGCAGTTCAAAAACAAGACACTGTTTCTTTTGTGTTGCCTCACAGAGGAAAGGCCTTTCCTGTCTGTTATGCAACAGCTTGTAACTTTTTGTGCAATAAAACCTCTGACTGGGTAAAAACAATAGGAGCCTTTTAGGCAATGGACAAACTTTTTCATTTTAGAGGAGTACCCTCACTGCTGATGTATTTCTTGAAGCATTTATTAGGTTTTGGGGACTAAAATCCTTTATGTTGGGCTGGATTGTCTTTTTTGTTCTCGTGGACAGTCTGCTTTGTAGTAATAAACACCATAAAATGAATAAAATTGTAAATTCATATATTACACACATTAGTTTCTATCATAACAAACGCTACAGTGAGCTTTAAAAACATTAGAAGCCAACCAGTTTATTGTTAAAGTGTATTGATATTGATATTGATAAACCTTTATTAGTCCCACAAGGGGAAATTTCATAATTTCCCCTTGTTATCTTTGTAATAACAAGACCAGCAGCTTGTTTTGTAAAAAAAAACCCAAAACACCCCCCCCCCTCAGCAAATATCTATTTGACTTGGCTCTCCTCTGGAAACAACACCTCTTCTTCGTTAGATGGGGTCAGAAGGAAGGTTGTGAAGGGCTCGTCGGAATGGCCTTTGCTCCTTCGTTTGGTCCAACTTGATAAATGTGGGCAAAATCATTCAAGCTGGTGCCCGTGGCAAAGCTCACCATTCTTTTTTATTAACCTTGCTGAGGCTGCCTAAACCAACAGAACACTGCAAAAGTTAGAGTCAGAACTAAAGAACAAAAAAGAATAATAAAAAGTTCCAAGAGTGAGCTTTCAAACCCTCAACTCCACCCCTTCCTTAGAGAGCAAACGCCATCCAGACGTCCTAGTTGCCATATTTCCTCACACAGACACTGTGGCTCTGCGGGCCTGTGCAACCTTAAAGTTGACCACACAAAAATGTTAAGCCCTGCACGCACACAAACAGACAGCAAAGCTCATTTGTGTCCTTACTTGCTGCTGTGTGCTCCACCTTTACTGTCCTACTTGAGTAATTGGATTCCCATTGATCCTATCCTAGCTCTAACAGACTTGTGATAAAGCAAATGCTCAGGGATATTTAGAGCACTCTTTCTGTGCTAATGCACAATGGGGGCAGAGTGATATTGCATATTCACAAAAGGTCAGCTTTCAATGTCAAAGTTGAAGAGTGAGCTGATAAGACACACCTCCTGTCCATTTCTCTGTCTTGTATTTGTCCTTCCTGCAATCATCCTTCTAACGCTCAAAGCAGTAAAAGACGCACTCGGCCCCCAAAATCAAATCACAGTCTTAATTCAGAGCACAGTAATCCTTCACGTTTGATCCTATAGAGGAGTCCAAGATTTATTTTCTGCAAGTTTAAAAAAACAAGAGAGAGAAAGAGAGAGAAAGATCCAAGCATACCTGTGTCCTCTCGATGAGCTGCTAGATGAGAGATCAAAGTATGATGTGCATTCAGACACAAATTCACAAATCAACAGATAGGCAGACATGCATGCTGGAGCTGGCACAGGAGTAACAAGGTAGGCAAGCTGTGCAAAAGTCTCTCTCCCCCTCCCTCCTTGTCTAGCTCTCTCTCTCTTTTTTCTCTCTCTCTCTCTGAGCCACCCTACTTCCCAAATCCATCACATAAGAGCTGGCTGAAGAGGAGTCAGCAGTGACTTCACTGTGAAGCAGGATAAATGTTGTAAGTCAGCTGACTCTGAATTAATCAAGGTGTGAATCTTCATGTTTGCGGTCTCTAAAGGTTGGCAGATGTTAGCGTGAGTAGCATTCGCTTAGGTCAACAGTCTGTGGACTTTTTATGTTCACTGTCCAAACAGCAGATTATCAGTCAGCTCACAGTGTGCACAGCAGGAGCACAGAATGGAAAATGCACGTCAGATGGGGAGAAGAGCCATTTTTAAACCAGAACTTTCCAACTTCTAGTTCCCCCTGCTGGCAAGACACTTCATAAAAGAAGGAGCAACTTCACCAACATGTTTTATTTATTTATCTGCCTTTCACTTATTCTTTTTAACTGTATATGCCACTCTGCACTCTCAATTACCCCGTGGGGATAAATACAGTTATCTAAATCTGAAAACTATAGTTTTATATTTTAAAACGGTACTCAAGCTCTGTATTTATAATTATCTTGTTTCATCCTCTTATTTCTTCTGCTTTCTCTCTGCTGTTAAACATTTATTATAAAACTTGTCACAAGACTCTATACAAAGAAAGCAAAATACCACAATAAAGTCTTCATTTTATTCTACAGAGGTATGTTTGAGTTGGTTTGGAAATAGGATGTTAAAGTTGGAACTGCCAGGCAAGAAGAAAAGAGAATGCAGTAAAAGAGGAAACAAAGCAGGTTAGTATGGCACAGGAGAATGCCAACAAAGAAGACCACAATTAAAACCTGAGATGGTTTTCCAACAGTCTTGAAGGAGTTCCCAGAGATGCTGAGCACTTGGTGGCACTTTTGCCTTCCCTCTGCGGTCCATCTCACCCCAAACCATCTCGATTGGGTTTAAGTCAGTTGACTGAGGAGGCCAACTGATCTAGTGCAGCACTCCATCACTCTCCTTCTTGGTCAAATAGCCCTCATGTCACAGAGTGGGAATTTGTATTTGTCTTTTATAATTGGTTTTATTCTGATTTTAGTGTTTATTTATGAGTGTAGTTTTTATTTGCATGATTTATTCTGTTTGTATTCCATGTTTTTATATGACATTGTTTTAATCCACTGTGGACTGGCTAGGCAAATTGGCTGATAGCGATCACCTGCTGAGGGGTGTGTCCCGAGGTGGCCTATCAGCTGTTTAAAGGACCTATTAAAAGTGAGCTAGCTGAGCACTAATGGAGAGAGGCCCCACATATGAAGAGGAATGCGTGAAGGCCAGTGTGGAAAAGAGGGACCAGCTGCCTGATCGTAGCGTGCGACGGCTCATTTGGAGATGGACCGGTCCCAGCAGCAGGAACATTGACAGCAGGGCAGAGGTACACCTCTGCCTGCATTTGTGAATAGTGTCTCCACTGCTGTTCACCAGGTGCAGCCGTGTTGGGAGAGGGTCGCCATGGCCATTAGCCAGGTCAGCTTCCGGGACGATGGTTCTGGCCAGTATTTGTTTACTTAAAGGGCGAATCCATGAGGGGAGCCGCGGTGGCATCGAGCGACAGACTCCAGTGCAGTGTGTGAGCTGGGCTGGTATGTGACAAGCTAAGTGGAGGGATGAGACGGGGATAGGAGGCTTCTCCTTGTCTGCCTGGGACGAGGCTGGCGTGGTCCCCGCCTTGAAAGAGGAATTTTTGTCCTGCTCATGAACACATAAGGAACATTCATCCTGGGTTGTGGGTCAGTTGCATCGTGGGTCTGGGTGGAATTTTAGCTGCATGAAGAAAATTGTTGTCATATTAGGCAATTAGGCAGTTTTGTTGTAACACTTGATGGTCTTTGGGAATGCACTTGGGGACAGATTCAGAGTTTTAGCAATTTTCCAAACTGACTGACCTTCAGTTCTTAAAGTAACAATGGACTGTCATTTCTCTTCCCTTTTTTTTTTTTTAACTTCATATTATAGCAAGAATCAATCAACTAACAGTTTTCAAATGATGCTGCCAGCTGTGTGTGACTTCTGACTTCTGTCCCAACCCCATTAAAAAGGTCAGGAAATTCCACAAATCAACCCTGACAAAGCACACCTGTGAAGTAAAAACTGTGACTACATCATGAATTCATTCAATTCATTGAGAAAAGGCCAAGGGTTTGCAGCACTAGCAACAAATCAAATGGTGGCTACTTAGAGGATTCTCAAATATAAAACATATTTAGAGTTACTTATCATTTTTTTTCTTTGCTACATTGTTCCATATATCTTGCTTTAGATATTTGATGTCTTTGGTATGTGTCTACAGTGTAGAAAGTAGTAAAAATAAATTAGGTTTGTCCAAAGTTTTGACTGGTAGTGTATATTAGAAAACATAACTCCTATTTTGGAATATTGAAGATGCCATATTGTGATATAGATACAAATAAAGCTCATATAAAGAATATATGATTTGTGTTTTCTTACATGCCTCAGGGAATATAAAGGTATTTACTTTTCTCATTTCAGCATAGACAAATACAGTTATAGTAATATTGTAGAAATAAACAACTCTAAATAACCTTTTCATATAATTTAAAACAGCTGTAGTAGCAGGCTAATAAAATAAAAAACAAAAACAACCAGAATACAGATAAGAACTTTATCCTGAGAAAATCCTAAGGGAAACTACTATTAACACAGTAAATGTAGTAAAACAACTACAAAAAATATTATTATGAAATACATAAACATTATTATATGAATAAAATATAACAAATATAACATTTTAATTGTTACATCAACTCAACCTTAAACCTTCTTTTAAACTGTAGCAATAAAGATTATTATTAAGAGATAATGTACAAAAGTAAATATATTTATACTTTCTAACTTAAAAACTGATAAGTTATAGTTACGTTTATACTTCACTGTGTCCGTGACACGTTGAAAACTGAGTAAACAGCCACTTTTTTCATGATTCACTCGTCTCGCTCCTTCCTCGCACTTGACGACCTCTTCCGCCGGAAGTAAACATCACGTGACTCTGAAAATCAGCTGATCCTCCGTAGACATCTTTACGAGTCACGACTGCGGCGATTAATTCAAACCGTCTCCACTGTTGTTCTCGGGTACATAAATGCCGCTTTAAAGCTTAAATGTTGGGGTTAATTTCATTTTCTGAGTAATCGCAGTCTCTGTTTTCATTTAGCGGTTTTATTATTCGTGATTTTTTAATTCTTACTTTCTCCGGCAGGCCCAGGCGGATCTTTGACAACTGCAGCCATGGCGCTGAGCGATGCCGACGTACAGAAGCAGGTAATGAACCGTTTTCACCTATATAAAGACACAATTTTAACGCTTGTTTTCGTTCGTTAAAGAATCAACTCGTTAGCCTGTTACAAACCTGAGAAATGCTTTCAGTCGCTGTAGGATTTACAGGAAGTCGGTGTGTCAAAGGAGAATGACATTGAGAGAGCTGCAGTAGGGTTAGCACTGAATTAAACACAAACGGCACCTAGAGGACAATATTTGGGGTTCTTTAAAGGGGTGCTTTTTTACATAAGATTGACACTTGGACCCAAATGAGCAGCTATTTCTGCAGCTGGGACTTAAGGATGTGATACTGAGGGTCATACATCTCTGCATGATCACATGATGAACACATGCCAAGAAGGAGGAACTTGGAGTGAGCCACCGTGTTCTCACTGGAAATCTCCTCAAATATGGAAAATAAGTCTGATAAAATGTTCCCACTGTACACTGTCATGACCAGAGATTTCTATATCAGTTGGCTGTTTGACACACATTAATAATATATTTAATTTTCAACAAATCTTAATATTAGCTAATTTTGCTGTTGTTTAAATAGTTTTGAAACAGCAATTAAAGTGGCAATAAAGGGTTAATAAAGGGTTATGGTTAATAAGTTTTTCTATGTGATACTTTTATTTGGTGTCAGAAAATATGATAACACATTCTCAAAGGCCAACGTTTTCCTGTGCATCACCAAGTCATGAAGCAAAAGTGATAATTATGTGGCTCAGCGGTCATCATAGTAACATGTTGGATCTTGTGGCAGGGAAACTCCCCAGTTCTTAATCCCATTGAGGATTGATTCCTAAAAGGCAGGAGGACGAGCAGAACTTTGAGCTCTGATAAGGCAAGAATGGCTCATTGTCGATCAGAGGATGGTCAACACTGTAAATACTGACACCGTCCAATATGAAATGCTCATGAGTGTCCCTCGCTATATCTTAGAAATGTGTAAAACCATAAGTATAAAAATTAAAGCACTAGATTGTATGAAACACAGAATTTGTGTGAAGCCATTGTGGAATTTCTAGTAGTGGGCCATCAGAGGGCGACTCTCCTGGCTGCCAAAACCCCCCAAAAAGATTGATGGTTGTATAGAAGTCTGTGGGGAAACAGCTCCTATGTGACCTCAGTGGACACTTTCCTGATGACTTTGTGGGCTCAATTCCTAGTTTCTGGTTACATCGATTAATACATGAAGTTCATTATCTGAATTAATAGAGTTGCTGAACAGTGAGCCCGTGGTTTAAAATTATAGTTTTAATTTCCTCAGTGAGATCCATCCCTCGCTCATCACCAGTTTCTTTGCACAGTTGGTAAAATGACGATGTGCAACAAAATTCACAAACATTTCTCACTGAAGTGATGGAAACAGCCCTGCCTTAATCTCATCTTTACCACCCCAGTAAAGATTTACCACCCCAGTAAGCACTTTACAATGAATAGTGGCATTGTAAAGCGCTTTGGGTGCCTTGAAAAGCGCTATATAAATCTAATCTATTATTATTATTATTATTATTATTATTATTATTAAGACGTCCTCTCTACCCTTAATGATGAATTTTTGATACCTCGCTTGACATCTCAAACCAGAGATGACAAACCTCACACAGTAAAATGTACTTATTTTTATGGGATATCTTGATGTTTACCAGACTAATGCTTTGCTATCGTTTTACCAAAAGTTTAATGATGAGTTTCATTTCCAGTGTATTGCATTAGAAAGGAAAGTCACAAGTTGCATTAGGTGCAAATCTTTTTTAATGTGAAATAAGCTAAGTATATTTGTCATGAGGGTCTTTGAATGCTCTGAAAA